AATGTATATACAAATTTTTCTATGTGCTTTACTCATAGTAGCCAAAAAACCCTGGAAATAGCCCAACTGATCTTCATTGAGTGACTGCCTAAACAAACTCTGTGTTACATCCACACAACAGAATCCTGCCTGCCCATCATTGAAAAAAAGTAGACTACTAATGCATGTAAGAACTTGTATCAATCTCAAATGCATTATGCTAAGTGAAATAGACCAGACTTAAAGCCTACCTTCTGTGACATTCAAGATAAGGTGAAACCATAGGAACAGAAAACATATCAGTGTTGCCAGGAGCAAAAAGTGGGGGAAGTGTTGACTTTCAAAAGACAGGAGGGAATTTTTTGTTGTTCTTCACCTTGATTGTGGTGGTGGCCACATGACTGTATGCATTTCTCATAATTCATAAGAACTGTATACTAATAAGGGTATATTTCACTCGACATAAATGAATCTCAATAGAAAAAAAGGTTAAAGAAAGAAATTTGTGGACAGGAATCATGGATTTTTGTATTATCCTTGTATTTGATGGCTGTTTTTAGTTTGGTCACTCATCTGTTTGTTTCTTCCTTTAACGAGTATGTGTTGAGTGCCTACTATGTGCTGGGCACTGTGGGTTCAATGGTAAGAAAAGCAGATACAGACTGCTCTTGTGAAGTTCCTTGAAAGAAATAAAACGAAGTGCAGGATATTTTATTGCTTGTCCTTGAGTGATATAAAGGTCCTATCTAAAACACACAGGAGAAGGATGGGGAGTGGCCTTAGAAGAAACAATTTCAGAGAAACTGTGGTACTAGTTGTGCAACCCCAGATTCACCCCACATCATTCTTTTCCTTATAGCTACTCTCCAGACTTCCTTTCGGCTCTGTAAGGGATTTCCAGGACATCTTATTAAAAATGGAAGAAAGGTAGACAATCCCTGCCTAGTAATGGTATTCTGGAATACAGAATACTTTTTAAAAAAGAGTATCAAATGATTGTATTATAAAAGATAAGCCATTATTGACCATTCACTTTTCTAAAAAAACACAAATGTGAGAATAAAATAAACACACTCAAGACTCCCTGTCCCCTGCAGGGTAGAAATCAGCCCTGGAAAGAGAGCCTGCTTATACCTAATATCTGAATTTCTCACACATTTTAGGCTTTCATGTTTTGTTATCTCTGGCAAAGGAAAGGAAACTAGCTAGAAGATTCATGTACAAGAAGGTCACAACCTTAAAGCTATCTGATGGGGCTAATGACTTGTACAATCTAGTTTGCAGCTCTGAGATACCATATCAAATAAGCACTGTCAAATACTACTCCCGCCTAATCTTTGCTGTCCTTGCTCTTTGAAATTGTCTTTGGGATTGATTATGTTCTCTCACTGTAGCTTTTGTTTAGCTCAGAGCACAAACTGTAATGTCCATGTGCAGCCTCCACGCATAGAATACAACCCTCTAGAGCCTAACTTTAGTTGACACCTAACTCCAAATTGCAAATCTACCTCCAATCGAAAAGAAGGGAGAAATTAATTTTTAAAGGGCAATTAGCAAATATATTCCCAAAATAATTTCAGATAAACTCTGTGTGACAAATGGTGCTGTCAAGTTCTCTTATTTGAATAGTAGTCATTGCTTGTCTTAAGAAAATGTACAACGGAACATATCTTCTTGGCATATAAAAGGGTAAGATTTCTTTCTATTTTTGTAATCTCTTTAGGGGATTGCCTGTGGCGTACATGACATTCTGGTTGAATATTTATTCAGAAATAAAAGTGTTTTTTTTTTCTCTTCTATTTTTGTGGAGAGGTTTTCTGAAATAGCAGGAGATTTTGCTTTTAATTCTCTTTCCCAAAAAGCAGTAGCTCCATTAATTTTTTCATTAATCCCTCAGATAATTGATTCTAGAAAGGATGTTATGGCAGAAGATTTTCTTATTTTGTAAATATTTGAAATTCAGGAAAACCCTCCCATCAGCAAATTAAATGAAGCATTGAAATAAAAAAGAACATTCTTAGCCAGG